CAGTTTTTTATGACATAATTCTGGGGGGTGGGGTGGCTTGAACACGGGTTGAAGTTCAATACTTAGAACTGATGAACACTGACACTCCTCCTCAGAATTATTAGATTAATTTGATGTTAGTAGTTAGTAATCACACTGGTGTGGTCACTTAGTACAGGACGGATGTCCGTTACTAAAATTGCAGGGGGTTGGAAGTTTTAGACGATTTAATTTCCATGCTAACTCTTGTGAGGCTAAATTTATAGCCTAATTACATTTTATTTAACTCGGAGCACTGAATATAATCAATTACTACAGTCAAGTATTATTCTGGGACTGCAGTAGGATCAGTGACATTAGTTGTATTGACTTGAAGCTTGTTCAGGTAACTGGTCACTGATATGCAAACACTGAAGCCCATGGAATACATCTCAATTAAATAATAAATGTATAAAAATCAGTCAAAGGATTTATATAGTCAATCATGCTCCCTTGTGCTTATTTGCTGGAGTTTATTTGGGTGACAAATTGGATTTTAATTTGGTTAGTTGATTCTGAGGACTGAATACTCAATCATTAAAGTCAAGTAGGATTCTAAGACTGCAGTGGGTTCAGTGACATTGATCACAGTGACTTGTAGCTGTTTTAGGCTACTTTTCACTAATTTGCTACTGAGGCCTCATGAACACATCTTCAGCTTTTAAAGATGATATCAAAATCAACCTCTGTTGATATAGTCAGCTGTATTCTCCTTAGTATAATGCTACTGGAGTTGTATAATCAACTGACAAATTTAGATTACTATTGGTATTGTTTGTCTGCAAGCATAGGTCTCCTCAGGCTTAATACTGAGCCTATGAGTAATTTGCCTTCTGCAGAATTTAACATGTTTATGCCCTGATATTTAGTTGGACTAGTGATGAATTGGTGGTAGTAGTCTGCACCTACATGGAGTCCGATGTCGGTGAGGTGAACAGACTTAATTTTATCTGCCAATTTCTCAGGAATTTGCTAGTAACTCCCAGACCTTGTGCATGCAGGTCTGCTGGAATTGGGTCCACAACAATGGCTTGTACTTGACAGGTGTAGTTGCCTAATCGTACTGGTGGTTGCACCACCTGGTAGACTTGAGGTCCTGTATCAGCTAGGAACCCAAAAATATTCAATGTCACCTGTTTTACATGCTTTAATTGTAGATCATCTGCCACCCTTTCAGTGACAAATGTTCTCTGGGACCCTTGGTAAAACAACCCCACGGGGTATGGATCTTGGCCTACTTATTCTGGTTGGTAATTTGGACAGTGGGCAAAGTCACAGTATTTTTGGTCTTTGTTGATAGGACACTGATTTTCTGTCGCACCTTGCAGTACTGTACTGTGGTAGGAATGTTATCTTACACCTTGGGGTTTGGAGACTGTATTTTGGTGTCTCCGCACAATGCTGCATGGTGCTGACCCTTGTTACGCCTAATACAGGTGTGTAATTGGTTCCACAGTCAAGGAAGTTGTATTTCCTGAGGCTCTTCGTGCAATTTTGCAACTCTTTGAGTTGCTTGACACGGATGTCAGGGGACATATTTTCCCTGCTCTCTCGTGCACTGAATTAAGTACGAAATTGCATAGTGCACCAGTGATGTGCACCGTGATTCAACTTTCCGTATAAAACTTTTCCACAGTCTTGTTGGGTGTCGTTGGACAGCCCATAACATTTGCTAGCCATTGATGTCATTCTGATCGCTGTATCAGGTCTGTGAAGGAAATTACAGGAGGGAGTTGATTCCAGGGAAATTTTTGTACAAGTCAAGTGTAGAGAGGGAGGTATGGGGGGTTAATGGCCATAGACCACCCCCCCTATCACGTGTCCACCTCGTGAGAGAGGGGGTAGCGTCATGGGGCAGGTATGCCATTTGCTGAGGCTCTTGGGCCTCAGGAATGCTGAACCATGATTGGCCAAGACGCTGAGGGGTACCGCATGGTACCCCAGGCATAGTGTTGGTGGGAAAAGATATTCTTACCTAGGACGTTGCTTGGGGTGGACGACATTTCCCGTGCTAGGCCAAGCATCGGGAAATACCGCCTGCAACGTTACTCAAGTCACGCCTACATCTTGCTATCTTTCCGTGTGCCGTCCGTAAGAATCCGGTAATCGGAAAGGGGCTTGTATCGAACCGTGTGAACTTGTCATCTAGCCGCGTAATTGTGGGACGCCATCTTAGAGGAACTGGACTGAGTGAGGCGTTAATTATCGGGCTACAAAAGCGACATCCGTCGTCTATCGTATCTGTGCTTGAAGATACTGCTGGGAGACGTGCAAGAGAGGGTTTCAGTGTTATGAGAGAAACCTTAAAGTTCTAATTCTGAGGAACAGTGAAGGACTCCGTCTCGGGTCTCGTGTACCGTGTAACACCGTGTACTGTCGTATCCTGGGGTACCGTGTCAAGTGGAAGGGGCATGGTACCGCATCCCTGCTGTTGTGCGCTAACCTTGGCCTGCCTGTGCCGGTGTGTCTGCGCCATCCTGGTCTCTGTGTGTGTGGAGCTAACCCCGTGGTCTAGGACCCTGTGCTCCACCTGACCACGTGTAGGAAGTGAGGACGCCTACGTCATCATCCAGAAGCAGCAGTGGGAGTGTGATTGACGGGTATATGTGTGAAAGAAGGTTGCGGGCCCCGCATGTTTGATGTAAGTACACTGTTTCCGTTTGGGTAATAAAACTCTGAAGCTGGGTTCGCCCCCAGTGTTCCGTCTGTCCTTTGTCCCTGTGACCACCTGGTGAGGTGAATGGGAATTGGAGACGTCTGAGTCTACCCTGTTTGCCGTAATAAAGTTGAGGTTGGGCCCAACTGTGATTTGTGACGTGTGTGAAGACACCTAGTGACACATTCAGAGGTAGAGTAAAGTGAGTTATTTGCTTCTATTTTTCTATTTGCCGTGTATGTATTCGCTGTAATTTGATTCCCTTTTTCAGCAGTGAAAAGTGGTAACAGGGAGATTTCCCTTGGTTATATATTTTACTGTTGTGTTGTGGTAAAGTGTGAATTATTGGTGGATAATTTACTGGGGGAAGTCATTTACAAGTTTTGCCGTGAGTGGCAAGGATGTACTGTGTTGTACTGTGATGTATTGTGTTGTACCGTGTGTAAACCGTAGACAAGTTTGACCTTGGTGGAAGGCGTTGTGTACTGTGAAGGATTCCGTGAGAATTAAAGTCAGTTAACGTCACCGGGGGTCACGATTTACTTAACGAGTTCACTTGTTCGTTGAACATTGTTGTGATTAACGTAGAGACGTGTAAAGGCAACAGTCACAGTGAAGTTCACGCAGTGGAGGAATTGTCAAGTGAAGACTAACGTAGTGTTAACGATTTAACGAGCTGTCGTTAATTGAATGATTAACGTAAGGGGTTGACGGTCTGTTATGATCGGAGTCAATTGCGCTGTAATTAAGCTGCTGTAATTCGTTGGACTGATCAGATCTGTCTGCAGACAGAGTGATTAAGCACTCGTAGCTAATTAGAGAGAATTAGTAATCGCCACTTAGTGAATTCACCAGGTGTTGATGTTGTTTACACGGAGTATTGGAACATTGTGTGTGGTACAGTAGTCTACCCTCGTTGAAATTGAATTGAAATTGAAATAAGTTTATTGAGGTAAAATACACACAAAGGGATGAGGTAGCTCAAGCTATTCTCACCCCATTCAGTCTACCCTCGTTAAGGTAATCTTGTCGTAAGACCGGAAGTGAACTGTCAGTTGAGAGACAGTAGGCTTTATCAATACTCGTCTGAATTAATAGGCTGTTGTATTCAGTAATTAATTGGGAATTACTCACCGAATGCTTGACTTTCATGTTGATGTAATTAATTGATTTACGAGTTATTGATGCCATTTAAGTGTCGTTGAGACACGTGTGTGTTAACGTAATTGTTTAAATTCAATTAGAGTAACTTTTGTTTTGATTGTCCTGAGAGACAAGTGTTAACGTAAGATTTGTATAAGGGGTTATCATTCTTGGATTAACCGCCTTGTTACTTGGAACCTCGTTGAGGGCAGCGAGCGCCAGTCAAGTTTTTGTGATTATAGTATTGGTCACCGTGAAGCCGTGACAATATTGATTGCAAGCTTGCGTCACCAGTGGGCACCACTGTGTTCAGTTAGTGTCATTGTTCAGTCAGCGACGACGGGATAAGGAGACCGTGGGTCCATCAGGCTGTTGATTAGCTGATCTTTAATGTGCCACTGGAGTGACAGTAAAGTAACGTAAATTCACTGTATAGTAGTTTTAGTCTTGTTTTGTGAATAAATTGTTTTGTTATAGAAAACGGTCGTTTACGTCAAACCTTCCGATATTACTGCCCCACATTTCATGTTCTGCAACGCTTTGCCTGCTTATGTTCATATTAAGTCTGTATCTAAAGCTCGAGACCATTGCACAGCACCACACTTCTATAAATAAGAAGTGAGAATCCGTCGGCTACCCTTTATTAGTTGTCAACTAGGAGGAGCCAGCGACCTAAGTGACAGGTGTTACCTGAGTGGTTTCGCCTGGCGGTTTGCTCCCGCGGTCCTATGATCTTAGGCTTTAAGATTAAATATCTGCCACTGGCAGCTCTTGCTGTTTAAGGTCTGCCTCTCTTGCGAGGTAGTTGTGATTAACGTAACATCAATAGGACTTAATTCTTTTAATAACCTGTCAAAGAAAAAAATCTCACACACGGGCGTATCGATCAGGAAAATTGGTGCAGTGGTACATTGAATATTTCTCCTGGCAGAACAAACATGTTCCATAGCCTACAGCACCCTTTGGAGTCACCGACTTGGATAACACAGTAACCATAGGCTTGTAGTGTCCTACTGCACAGTTGTCCACATTGCCTTGGTTCCATTTTGATGTGGAAATAGCTTGTTTAAATTTAGTTGGAGTACTTTTTGTACTTTTTGTTTGGTTATTATTACTTGGGTACTCCACGGACATCGTCGGTTTAGACTTGTCAGTTGAAGAACTCTCTGTTGGTACCATTGTCTCATGGGGCTCTCATTCGGTTCACCGTCATCCTTAACCCATCAAATATTTCATCCAGGGTGAGGATGTCTGTCTGATAATGAGAACAGATGGATGCTAGAATTTCTCTGGGAAAGTTACTCTGAATCTCTAATTTTAACACCCAATCTGTTTTAGGAACATCTGCCTTGGCAACAAAAGCTTTGACTAAAGACTCCACTTGGAGTCTAAATTCTTGAATAGCTTCAGCTGTTGTTTCTGGTGTTGGTGTTAGTATTGCTTTACGTCGATAGTAGAGGTTAGATATAGCAACCTCATGGTTACTATAGTTTACCTCTAACAACTGTATGGCAGTATCGTAGTCGTCATCACTCGGAATCAGATGATCAATAACTGCCTTTGCTTCTCCCTTAAGTGTACTCCATAAATAAAGGTATTTCTTTGTTTTGTTACTAGAACTTTTAGAATTCACAAATAAATCGAACATGTTCCGGTAACATTCGAAGTTTTCTTCTCTGCCATGAAATTGAGGTAAATCAATGGCAGGTAGACGAACTTCATTGTTGGGTTCAGATGTATTAGCTCCACTTGTTGTTAGAGCATTTTGCGAGACAGAGTTTATATTTAATTGTTCTAAAAACTGTATTAAATTATCCAGATGATCTTGGACATTCTCCATATTGTTCCGTTTCGGCATGGAAGGTGTCTAGTTTGTCTAGATCAGCATTTTGTTGAATGAGGCTTTGATGATAGTTATTCCCAGCCTCGGTAGTTCTTTGTATTTTTTTGTTTATCCACCTCTTTGTGGTTTTCATGTACTTTAAGTATCACATTTGACTGGATCAATTGATCACACTTTTTCAGTTGCCTAGTCACATGTCCTTTGTGACTCACAAATGACCTGTGGTACAACGTACTGTTACTAGACATTTCGTGTGTTGTACTAGCTGCTGAATTCTGTTTTATTTTTTTGCTCCATACTTTCGTAATGAAAGAAATAGGGAATTAGTTCATAAACTGTGAACAAACACTGATTGTAACAGCCTAGGGTAAAATTTGTAATTCACTAGGCTATAATCCTACCTACTAGGAGGTTACCACTTAAATTAACATATATAAATAATCATACAAATGATTTGTGTGGTAACAGTGTCACTGGAAGTACCATCAGGTTAGCTCATCAAAATCACCCCTGGTTGGTGTAGACATTAATTAACACCCAAAGATGCAATGATTATCTATATAAATAAAAATGTAAATGTTCGTTTCTACAAAATCACTAATCTCTGAAAGTTCTTCACCAATTACTTTAAAATTTTGACACAACTTTCCATTCGCATACGGGCGTGTTTGTATGTACATACTATATAAATGTCACGTCTGTGACAGGTAAAAGCTTTTTTGAAAAACTGTGTTTTTCATGTGAGGGAAATCTCGAAAACCTCTTTACCGATTGCTTTTAAATTTTGACACAACGTTGCATTCGAATATGCGCATGTTTTTATATACCGACTAAATAAATGCCACACCTGTGACAGGTAAAAACTTTTTTTTTAAACAGTGCCATCTGTTGTATGTAAGGCAACAAATGCTGTAATCTCCGAAAGTTCTTCATCGATTGTTTTGAAATTTTGACACAACGTTCCATTTGAATACGCGCATGTTTTTATATACCTACTATATATATATGCCACTCCTGTGACAGGTAAAAACATTTTTCTTTAAACATCGCCATCTGTTGCACTTAAGAGCAACACACCCTATACTAAATATGTTACAATTCCATTTCAATGTTTCCAATGATAAATTGAATTTTCATAGATTTCGATTTATTTTCATTTTGATTTAATTAATTATTTTGTGTGACATTGCATTGGAATTGAGCTTTGTTATTTACCCTATCTTTCATTTTCTGAGTATTGTTTAATTTCTTTTATTTTTTCATTGTTTTTCATTTCGTTTTTTTAACTGTTCTTATTTATCTGTGATGGGAACATCAAATCATTTGATGTTCCCATTTTTCTGATGGGAACTACAGACCATTTGGGAGTGGGGAATGGTGAAGACGAGGGGACGGAGGAGTGGAGAATGGTGGGGAGGACAAAGGGAAAGGGCTGTGGGGAATGGTGGGGAGGATGAGGGGATAGGGGGTGGGGGATGGTGGGGAGGATGAGGAGATGAGGAAGTGGTAATGGTGGGGAGGACGAGGAGATGGGAGTGTAGGGGATGGTAAGGATGAGGGGACAGGGGAGTGGAGAATGGTGGGGAGGACAAGGGGACAGGGGAGTGAGGGATGATGGGGAGGACGAAGGGGACTGGGAGGGGGAATGGTTGGGAGGACGAGGGGGAGGGAGAATAGGGAATGGTTGGGAGGACGAGAGGACTGGGGAGGGAAGAATGGTGGGGAGGATAGGGGAACGGGGGATGGGGTAAAGGTTGGGGGAAACGGGGGAAGGATACTCTGGCTCTGTAACAACCACGCATTGCTGAGCCACAGCAACGCGTGGCCGGGTACCGCTAGTAGGTAAATAATTATATATACACACATCACAACTCGTGCTAGTATAACTCACACCCAAAATAGGGTCTGTACCATTAATTAATGGTGCTAGCTGTTCAATATAGTACAAATAGACTATGGTATTAAATGGGACTAGAATGTACAATAATTAGTTCAACAAGTCAATGTTAATATGGGACTAGTGCAATATTCAAGAGAAAGTATATACACAATTGGTGCTGTTAACCTCTTATCAACTTCTAGTATTATCAAGAAGTATTATGTCTGTTATTAATGACCTTTCACGAAATTAAACACTACAAAATTCGTGGATAAACTCTGCGAGGAGGCAACTAGTAATTTGGCTGGTATTAATTTAAGTGCTGTCACTCCACGAATATAGAATGTCACAAAATTGGTGGGTGTTATGGTGTTACTCCGTGAACCCCTTGAGGGGGTCGTGAGCTTCTGAAGGACTTACGCCACCGGTCACTAACTGCTAATGTATATTGTCACATTTATTGCACTAGTTTATTTAATTTGATGGACCAGTGTAGAACTTCCGGTTCGTTGTGGACCATTATTCATGATCCGGGTCGAAATTGACCATTAATATGGAGAACTGAAAACCAGTGTTTTTAGATTTAATGAACCATTGGCTAACTCTGGTTCATCCGGTTCGATTGAGACCACAAATATGGGAAAAATGACCTTTGAGATTTATATTTATTTAGTTTATATTAATTTATATTGTAATTTATATTTTACGTTAATTTATATTTTTCGCTAGTAAACTAAAATGTTTAAAGTGGACTGTATAATTTTAAAAAATCCAACAAATCGCTTCGTTACACATTCTGGGGGGTTCATGGTTTATATATATAGTTATCAATAAAAATTATTGATTAGCAGACATTCACTACAGTATTAGACTTCATATATTAGTAATTAAATCGGGAGGCCTTATCAGTATTGCAGTGGGCCTTGTCCACCAGTTATGAACATGGATGATCACACCAAATAATGCTCTGTTAGGCTAGCGTCATCAAGTGTTACTGGGGTACTGGGTAAATGCCCTTCTGCTTCTTCTTCTCCTTCAGTTACACCTGTCAAAGGGCACACAATAATAGTGATAACCTATATGACAGCTATATCAGGGGAAATATTGTCAATTCATTGAGTAATTTATAGGATAGGATTTACTTAATATTTACCCTGTCTTGGTCGCTGGCTAGCATTCTTACTGGTTGTGAGAGGATGATCTTTCAGGACTCTCCCACAGCTGACTTGAATGGCTCATTGCAGTGCACAGTGTACAGATATCGTGCACAAGCCCTATCTCTGTTAACCCTGGATAGTAAACTGCCATGTTGGGTATCTCCAGGATGTCCACCTAACCAGGAATACGTTTATAATACGGAGGCCGCCGTATGTCCAGGCAGGAAGTAGATACAGGGAAGTTAAGCATACTGGCCATAGGGTCAGAGAGTACATTTGGTGGTGCGACACGTGGGAGACAGAGGGATTGCCAGCGAGGCAACAGACTGACCTCTGGAGTCAGCCTCAACCGGCGGAATGGAGAATAACAACTGTGACGTGGTCGTGACGTGTTCATGACGTCACCTCTGTTACTGATCATGGAACGATCAATATGATTGGTTCCAGCTCTTTTGCTGCAATGCCATTGGTCAATTGTAATCCCTTGTGTGTGTCCCACGAGATGCCCTACAGCCTCTGGCAAGAGCATTCACGTGAAGGAGCCTGTGTATAGAGGACGTGTGCTGTTCTGTCTATCGGCCAATAGACAGAAGAACACCGTCTATTCCTCACCGTCAAGTTAAACTCAGCGTGGAGTTCCACCTGAGCAGCTGTAGGGTGAAGACGTGTCGTCTGACCACTCCGGCAGTTTGGGGAGGTTGCAGTTTTCGCCGGCAGGGGGTGTGGGGGTCTCTTACCCTCCCTGTCCAGTGTTGTTGCCTGCCTGGCTGCGTGCTGACGTGGCCGTTTTGACATGGGGGGCCTGGCCATTCCTCCTGTGTTGCGGGTAAATTCCGTGGGCCTGGAATTCTCGTGTAAGGCTGGTTATCCGGCCATTGAGTTAGTTATGTGCGACATGCTTCGTGTCCCGGTGGAAGCTGTGTATGGCGTTGAGCTTGTTACGGCCCACCGGGTGATTGTCAAGTTCGTGGGGGAGGAGGAGTATCGGGACTTCCTCCGGCGGAACGAGGGGCGTTCATTGCAGTTGCCGGATGGCGCCGGCTCCGTTACGATCTCGGACCGAAGTGGTGCCCTGACATATGTCAGTGTGCACGGTGCGCCCCTGGAGTTCCCTGAAGACCTTCTCCGGTGCTTCTTCGGGAGGTATGGTGTAGTCATCAGTGTGCGGGTGAACAAGCTGTCCTCGGGGAAGTATGCTGGGAAGCAGACGAACGTCCGTACATTAGGTATGCGTCTGCGGTCGGATATCCCATCTTCTGTCCGGCTGCTGGGCTACTACGTTCGGGTGTACTATGCCTGGCAGCCCCGTACTTGTTTCCGGTGTGGCCAGTTGGGGCATCAGGCTGCCTGGTGCTCTGAGACCCCTGCTGCACCCGTTAACTTATTCCAGGAGGAGGATTTCCCGCCGCTCCCTCAGGGCGTGGATTCCGGGGATGAAGTGGAGCAGGTCCCAGTCGCTGCTGATGCAGCCCCTCTTGCGTCAACCGACATGCTCCCGGTGCTTGTTGTCCCTCAGCCGAGTGCGTCTGCGTCTTCCTCGACTCCTGCTGCTGCGCCTGGTCCTGCACCCTCGCCAGGTGTTCCGGCTGTGCTGGGTGTTGGGGGGGCTGCGGAGCATCCTGTTGTGTGCGGCCCAGTTCCCCATGTGGTTGAGGCTGCTGCAGTACTGCGGCGGGCGTTGGTTCGCCCGGTTCGTGAGGGCCGTGGTTCTGGGTCCGACTCCGGCTGTGAGGATGTGCGGCCAGTGCCCAAGCGTTCTAGGCGCTCTTCTACTGCTTGGGCTGATGTGGAGGACTACGACGCGGGTGGAGCTTCGGGAGATGGTGTGGCGATTCCGGGTGCTTCGTGCTCTACGACGCTGATGGTGGCTGATGTCCATGTGTCTACTGTTGACGATGGTTGTGCGTCTAATTTACCTCCTGTTCTTTCTCCTGCAGAAGGTTTTACACAGTGGGAGGTGG